CGGGCCAGAGTTTGACACCTATGTGTTAGAGTAATACTACAGTAATTACAGTATACAACAACTTTCAGCAGCTACTGAATGTTAGGGGACCTAGCTTCAGTGAGCGTTTTGGGATTTATGACAGCTTATAGGCAGTGACATTAAGAAGTACTCTGTTATACAATACCAGATTGACCAAGAATGCTTCTGTAGTAACTGTAGTGCAGTGTCTGTCTGGTATCAGTAAGCTAATGTCTGTTGATATTTGCTTTGCTGGATGTGTCGTGTTCAAAAATTTAAGAAGGAATTAAGGAGAAAAAGATTTAAAAATATTGAATTTGCTTCAGCAGTTGAAATTACAAGTTTATAGTGCCAGCCTTTTGTGTGAACCAGCTTCCCAAAAAGGATAATGCTGAAACGGGCAATGAAAACAGATGCTGATTCTAAGGCCCAGTTCACCGCATCTTGTTCAGCCTCCCTAACCCAGAGACTAATCTAACCATTATCGTGTGTTTGTAAGCATGCTGCAAAAAACCCCTCTGCACTCTAGGTGTACCTGCAATATTTCAAATACAGCGCTGAATTGCGCTCTCAACCTTCAAACATGGAGTGCCAACATACTTATGAGCACATTTGCATTGTGTACATCTTAAAAAAATAATGAAACAGCCTTACTTAATAATTTTGTAAACTAAATTTTCAACCCTAACAGATGTCAAATGTGTTTAGGGACTTTTGCATCTTTTGCATGCGTCTTTCTGCATCGGGTTATGTGTTTTGAAGTGTGCTATACTAAATTTGTGGGTCATCTGTGTCATCATGGGAACATCCACGGGGTACTTCAGAGAGAGAAATAGGAGAGTGTATGATACATCCATAGAGAAACGTGTAAATCTTTGAAAATTGTCTGATTGTTTTACTTAACAGGTGACTGTAAATCAAGTAGACCTTGGTCGATCTCCCTCCAGAACAGAGAACCTGGGATGTCCCTGTGACTCTTTGGTGGGTTCATTTTTTTTTTCATTATTAAAGTTGTTTGAATTTTTTGAATACAGCAAGGTTGCACAGGATAGAACATATTTAAAAATAATTTTTAATGCAATTCAGTTTCTTTACTGTATTACAAAGTTAATCAAAATAAAAAGATTTCATGAGAATATTATTTGGTTTTATTGAGTTTAACGCAGTTTGACATTTCATTGTTCCTTCAATGCACTTCATGTGATATCAGTAATTCAATAAATCTTTTCTTCTTTCAGGTGGCTTTAGGAAGACATGTTTTCCAAAACCTTCAAAATAGGCTGGTGCAGTCCTACCAACAGCAGCCCTTGGACCTTGATCATATTGAGTTCCTCTGCGTGAACGCATCAACTCTAGTCTGTTCTCTTTCTGCTCATATTAATGTTCCATCACTGGTAGGTTTATTTGATTTAGTTTTGGTTACCTTTAAAAATTGTTTCAATATATGCCATTCTTATGTATCTTATAATGTTAATTTTACAGTGTAGTAATTATGCTATACAAATACACCTGTCGTCCATTGCTTTGTTAAATCCAAGATGAAATTTTGTTCTGTGTTTCAATATAAAGATTGGGGATAAGAATAATGTTACTAAGATGGTAAAACTGAATTCTAGGATTTCATCCAACTAAATATTTTAATGCAACCATTTTTTAGGTAGTTGAAGCTCTTCACCACCTCATCTGCCTCATCCATTCCGATATGGATACAAGAAGGTCTGCCATTGTTGTTGACAGCTCAGCTGGTGAACGGGGGAGGCCAAAGCTCTATGTTTCCAAAGACCACCTCAAAGATCTAATAAAGATGGACCTCTCCGTTCCTTGTATCTCCAAGCTTTTGGGCATATCACAGAAAACAGTCCGACGAAGAATGGAAGAGTGGGGCCTCTCAATAACAGCAACCTACAGCTCACTATCAGATGATGAACTTGACAACTTAATTGCAGCCATAAAACAGGAATCGAAAAATCTGGGTTAGTTATTCATGTGAAAAATAATGCTTGTAATAAGACTATTTTATTTTTCTTGCTAGCAACCTTTCATATTTACATGAATAACACTAGCTGAATGTCATGATTAGTTAGTAGTTTGATTTACTGTACTATAAGTGCCTTCCAATGTGCTGTTGTAATTCTTTCACTATGGAATGTCTTTTTAGGCTACAGAATGGTTAAAGGACGCCTCAGGGCACTGGGCCACAAGGTGCAGTGGAACAGAGTATGGGATTCCATGCGTCGTGTTGACAGCGCTGGAATCCTTGAAAGGATGGCAAATCTTGGATGTGTTGTCAGAAGGACATACAGTGTTCCTGGTCCTCTGTCACTGCTCCACATTGACACCAACCATAAGTTAATTAGGTAAGTTTAACATAATTCAATTCAATTCAATTCAATTTTATTTATATAGCGCCAAATCACAACAAATGTCGCCTCAAGGCGCTTCATAGATACAGAGAAAGAAGAAACATAACTCAATAGTCATAGGGCACATTTGGGCCCATTACTATTTAAGTCATTCATGCATATGCAAACACAGTATTTTACATTACGCCATTACTTTACCGCCAAGTTTGCAGTAATATATATATATATATATA